GAGGTCCCCCCCCCCCGTTCCTGCCTTCCTTGCTGCTGCTGTGCCCTGCACTGCCTTCCCATGGCCAGCTGCACGGCTCTGCAGGCAAGCTCTGTGGGCACAGCTCCATGGCTGCACAGTTCTGCAGGCAAGTAGCGTGGGGCGTGGCAGTGGCGGCCACTCCAGGACCACTCTGATTCCATGCAACGCAGGCCGGGAGGCCACTCTAGGGCTTCCCCCAACACCTCCCCACTCCCTACCAGAGTGCCTGGCCAGCTGCATGTGGACCGTGAGCAGCGCTATTGGTCCTTAAGTGAAGCCACACATGGAGGTGCTGAGCAGTTGCGCTGCTGGTGCCACTGGCCATCCACGTACAGTCACTCAGGCACTCCAGGGCTTCCCCCAACACCTCCCCACTCCCTCAGTCCCCACAACTAGCTTCCCTCCCAGCCCCCTGCAAGCTCCATTTACCTAACCTTGCAGGCTTGAGAAGGAAAGTGAGTCTGAGCTGAGGCCCTGGGACTAAAAGCCTTAGGCCCCGCCCTTCCCTCTCTCTCCCCCTTCCACTCCAGACAGGACTGGGAGTTCCCCGCACTTTTTCAAGTCAGCTCTTGCAGGTTGGAGCTCTGCCAGCCTGCAGAGCTCTTTGCAAAAGCGGGAATCCCTGGCTTTTTCTGCTAAAAGGTAAAATCCGCGTTTTCTCTGATAAAAATAGGAAATCTGTGGTTTTCTCTGTTTTTCCATAGGAAACAGAAAACCCGGATCCCTGCTTATAAGACAACTTTTATGGAGGAAACATGCATCCCATTTTGTGTATAATAGCTACCAGATCTTTCACATAACCTTCTAGTCAATCAAAATGTGCCACACTGAGATCATATATACAATTGAAACCATTGCACAAGTGTAGCATAGTTTTGATTATATTCCAAATCCTTGATGGCAGGGATGGGCAAAATACGGCCCATGGGCCAGATGCGGCCCACAAGGCCATTCTATTCGGCCTTCAGGGACCCTAAAAAATTTAGAAAATTAATATTTATCTGTCTTTGATTCCTGTCAAAAATGACAGGAACCAGGGGCAGCAGGACTCAGGGGAAGCCCAGACGGGCTGTGAGTGGCTGTAGTGTGGGGCACCAGCCATGGGGCAGGGGCAGAGCCGCTTTTCCTGCACTCAGCACCAGCTTGTAACATGCCCCTGCTGCCAACCTGGGCCCCACGCTGGCTCCGGGATCGCCTGTCAGGGCTGTTCCCATTGGCAGCAGCTGTGGCCCCGCCGCTTGCTGCACCGGGCAGTGTTAGCTGCTGCTGCCCACCTGGAGCTCACACGCTGGGTATCCCAGAGGTGGCAGTGGCAAACACTGCCCAGCGTGGCAAGTGGGGATGCTGCTGCTGTGCCTCGCCCCGACAGGGAATCCGGAGCCAGCGCAGGCCGAGGCTGGCAGTGGAGGCAACTTACAAGCTGATGCTGCCCAGTGCTGCAGCTGCTTGCAGCCCGCATGGCGCTGTCTGTGCCTGCTGAGGACAGCCCCATGCAAGCTGCGAGTGGCTG